GGCAGTGGACTATTAGGGCTTCTGAAACACAAGGAGTTCTAGAAATCCATTTTAACATACACAACAACCACATTTAACAAGACTAATAACATCTCGAAAATACCACACGGTACCTAGCGGTACTGTATTTCAGAGCTATTGTTTCAGGCTGCCTGCAAATGCTGTGAGACATCACGGGCAAAAGTTTTAATCAGTTTTTCACGTTTGCAGAATTTCACAGCAATCTGAGCTAAAAATAAGTTTATTTCAGGAAATGAAAACTTGAATCCTAGAAACGAGGTTGCAGGGGGCAGGTGTGTTCTGCAGCATTATGAAATACTAGGATCCATGTTTGAGTAGTCCTGGTGCCCAGCAATACATCCTCTTTCCTACAGTGTTTATCAGATAACAGCATACACCAAAAATCACTGAGAAATACAAAAAAATCACCAAATCAGTACAGGTACAGATTCTGCAGTATATTGTATCTGTTGTATATGAGCACCTTTTACTGGAACTTATGATAGCAAAGTGCTACGCAACGCACGCTTCATGAGAGGCTACTGTTTTCAGTACTTCTGAACTAAGGACTTCTGCCTCATACAAAACATTCATCCATTTGTATTTGGAACAGACTTTATCCTCAGCATGTGAAATATTTAAATAGTCTAAATAGCCATCAAGCAACTTGATGATAATTATGTAACTCCACTATGATTATCAAGAATGTACTTCCTAACAAAACATATTGCACGAGAATTTAAGCTTCAAAGCAAAATGAGTTAATACCTCAGACCAGCTAGTTTCATAACTCAGGAAAATAGACAAAACTGGAAGGACAGTAACACATAAGTGAACTTGTGGTCAAGTATGCCACCAAGAGGCAAAAAAGGCAAAAACAAGCAAGCCAGGGAAGAACAAAAGAACAGTATCAATGTGCGAAATATCTGGGAAACCCTGGGACGATCTGTAATTTAGGGTCTACCCTCACTGTACAGTCTTCGCTCCTTGAGCATGTTTAATTTCTAAATTGTAAATCTGCACGAGGACTGAAATCCCACATACAACAAAACAAGAGGCTTAAATCAACGGAACGGTTCCTAGCATTAAGCGCCAAAACAGTATAAACAAACAGGGTCAGAAACACTAATCATCAGTGACTAACACCACATTTTAAAAAACTGCTTGGTTTTCATACAGGAAGTGGTTCTACAGGAAGAGGTCTGACTTCAAACATATATAACATCCAGTAGCTTGTTATAAAAAAAAAATACTGCCAACAGCTTAGCACTTCTGCAAATCTGGCCCTGTCACGCAAACGTATACGTGAAGACAACACAGGTCTTAAATCCTCTCCATCATTTTCCATTCCCTTGTTCTTGTGTTGGTAGTGGCTGCTATATTGATTTAAAGGCCTTGACTTGTATTTTTTCCATACACAAGAGTGAAACTGTTTTGAAAATCTGATCCACATCACACTTTAAAGCGTCTTGTGTGGGTGGGGGGGTTGTTTGTTTGTTTGTTTCTCTCTCAACGGCTGTATTTGATACTGTTTTCAAAACAGAGAAAGGGGACAGGCTGAAGTCCCGGAAGTGTGAATATACGGGGATGTTATCATGCAGTCTTTTCTTTGTAGGGACAAGAAGTTATTCTGTACTCCAAGACAGAGTGCTCTGTATGTCTAATGCATTAGTGAAATGCTGAAAAGCAAGCCTCTCTGCAGCACTGGCTGCGTGAACTGAGAACCTGCGGTCAGGAGTCTCTGTGGTTGCAGAGGAATCTTTTATTGGAGCGCTTTCATTGCTACCTGGAAACGTACTGAGTTCCCTTTACACTTGGATAAATCACAAATGGGAAAAAATAAATGGCAGGTGTTTATGACTTTCTGACTGTTGCAGCAGCAGCTAGGACTCTTAGATGTGATCAGGAGAAAATCCTTCCCCTGCCCTTCCCTTGCCCTTTTCTTTGCAATATCGGTTTGAAGGGAAGACTTTCCAAACGTTCTAACTCTTCCGGGGAGAGGCTGAGATTCAGAGGGGAAGAGTCAGGTAACAATTCATTATTTCTCTCTTTCCAACCAGTTCATAAAATGTGTTTATTTTGTTGATACCTTATTTTTTGACTGCATCTTTGCCAAATCAGAATGTTACAAAAAAATCTTTTATATACATACACACACACACACACACACACACACATATATTTGCTAAATAAAATTTGCTAGGGTTTTCTTTCTCTCAACTCCCTGAGAGAGAAAATTAAGTCTGAGGAAAGAAAGTTTGATTTAGAATTTCCTCCTTTATCCGGGGGGGGGGGGGGGGGGGGAACGCAAC